CTTCTTCTTGAACTTCTTGTTAGATTTCAAGTCTGTATTTTGTGTCCGTGACAATATGGGGATAAAAGAATTTTTTGTAGAGTAGCAATTTTAAAAACTAAATTAGTCTTGCATACACCTATACCTGTTTTATTGGATTTTTAATCTTATTATTTTAGTTTTTTTGATTTAAAAATTAATTGTAATATCTAAATGCTTTTTGGATATTAAATTAATTACTTAATTGACATATATGAAGCATTTGTACCATTAATAAAGTTTGGTTTTGAAAAAAAAATCACCAAATAATTAATTGGAACAATCTTTTATATTTATATTATAATTTTTAAAATTAACATTATTATCATCTAAAATTTTATTAATTTTTAACATGATTTATTGCATTAAAAACATGAAATCGATTCATCTATAGTAAAGATGTTATTTTTATTCTTCTTATAAAGTTGCCAATTTTGTATATGTGTGTATAAATATATATATATATATATATATATATACATATATATGATTCTTCAAAATATACAATATACATATATATATATATATATATATATATATATATATATATATATATATATATACACATATATAAAATTTAAATGATATTTTGTTATAATATGATGTATTAAATTTAAGGCAAAGTATGTTTTGGAGTTTGCAACCATTTAACTAGATTATGAAATATTTTAAAGATAATTATTATTTTTAAAATATTTCTATTATATAAAAATTTAAAATTTTGTAATAGCTTCTTAAAACTTTATAATTAAAATTCCATCAATAAGTTTAATAAGAAATATTTTTTTAAAATTCTTTGTAGTAGCTAATATGATAAGTCATTGTAAACTTAGACAAATAACTTTTGCTTAGAGAAGTAATATAAATATTTAAAGATATATTAAAATTATTACTACAATCATGAATTCTATCATTTATTATTTTCTACTTTATAGCATGCAAACCATCTTCCACTTCTCTTGCCATAACAAATCTTGTCCCTTGATATATTTTTACATATTTAATCCTTGTTACCACTCTTCATTCTTTTAGATGAAGTTATCCATTCATGTCAATTTATTCAACTACATCCCTTTTAACAATTGATTCAATAATCTATTCAGTAAAAAAACAAAGAAAATTAATGTCATATTTCAATTGTAGTTTTATATTTAAAAGCCATGTAAGAAAGGGGTTGTAGTATGCTAATCTTTGACTTAAGTATGCACTGTATTAAATATGTACTTAGTTTAAGTATGAAAAATAAACGTCTAGAAGTATAGTTCAAATTGATATTACTTTATTAATAAAATATTATTTCTACCTTGAAATATGTTGAAATATCAAGAATATCCTTGTATTTTTTATAACAGTAAATCTAACCCATTTTTTCGATAATATCAAACTTACCCTTCAATCCAATGAGCTATTACAATTCTTCTTTATTTAAGTGCAATTGGGACCCAACTTGTGTGCTACAGGGCCTCTTCCGCACTTTTTGGGGAACTTTTTGGGGCATAGTACAAGGATGTTAAGTTCTTGGTGTTCATAATTGGTGAGTGAAGGGAAAATATACACCCAATTTTGAGATCTTGTGTGTTTAATGAATGCTTTGAAATCTGGCTCGTGTGCACTTATTTTTATGGTAAGATCTTTTGATGTGATGTTTTTTGAGTGCCTCTTGCAAGTGCTTAAAGGAGTGTTGCTTCGTGCGGCCTTGTTTTTGTATGTGGTCTATCATTGCTTTCGTCTACAGTATGGCTTTGAGGGAGATAGTATGTTTGCTAATTGCATGTTTTCCCTGTCTCTTCTCCGTGAGTTGTCCAATTTTCTAGAGAGAATCTGCTCATGCTCATCTTTGATTGAATAGTAGTATCGGAAGTGAAGGAGTCGCAGCGAGCATCCATGACAGTGGATATGGACTTGGCGTCTTGGAAGCAGCTGCCCTCAGATGTGCAGGTGTTCACATTGGCTATGCTGCCTCTGCGGCAGTTAGTTAGCTCCCGCTGCGTGAGTAAAGAGTTGCGAGCTTCGCGAACGATGAAGACACCCTGGCTTTCTCGCGGTCATTGGTAACGCCTCTCATGGAAAAACCGATGCTAGCTATGGGTTACGATGGTAAAGAATTAGAGGTGAGTCGCGGCTAACAAAGCCCTGGTGGGGCTGGATCGAAGCAGGAGCAATGGCTGAATTGATTGACCACGTAGGTGATGGAAGAATCGAAGCAGGCGCAATGTTGCGGGGATCTCCTTCTAGAAAACTCCTCTACTACTGAACCCAGATATCTATAATGTGGAAAATTGCTGCGTATGTGATTGCGCTACCTGATTTTATTTTGACATATTCATTTGCATCGAACAAATTGATGATGTTGCCAATCGAGGGGTTGACCACGGATTCAAATTCCCTGGTCCTCATCGTGTAGCGACAAGTCGGTGTAGACTTCCTGTCTAATAAGATTAAGTGTGTCTACTAAGGCTGAGTGGGAGGCCCTCTCCGGCCTGAAATCCATGCACCGAGCTCATTCTTTGCCACACTGATCCCCAAGAACAGAGAAGTCCACATAATTGCAACCATGAGGATTCGGCACAATAATTTTGTCCTCTGAACAGACTCAGTCCATAATTCTGCAGCTCCCAAACCAGGCACCACAAGTAGAAGGAAAATTCACGAAGATGAGTCACAAACCACGCAATCTCAGTTAGTGCTTATGAATATGGTGCACTGCACATAGATCTCAAGAGAGTCTGAACAGATTGCTCTGGCCCCTCAGCTCGCGGAAATTTATTTATTTGTCAAAAATGGCTGCACAGTAGTGTATGTGGCACTAGAGGCAAATTGTGTCTCCAAACGTGCAGAAGAGGCCCAGCGGCACACAGGTTGGGCTCGAATTGCACTTAAAAAAAAAAAAAAAAAAAAAAAAAGTGCTTATTGGGTTGAAGGATAAGTTTGATATTATCAAAAAAGTGAGGGGTAGATTTGCTATTATCAAGGATACATGGATATTTTTGATATTTCAACATATTTCAGGGGTAGAAATGATATTTTCCCTACTTTATTTTGTTTTAAATGTGTCAAACACTGTTAGTTGTATATGATTTTTGTTTCTTTATATGTCTTTTGACAATCTTGTCAAGTATCATTAAAAATCTCTAATGCTTGAGAAAAAATTATCAACTAAAGCTACTTCAACAACTTCAATGAACTCATCAAATCTCAATTGTGGCTCTATCTCAATAAGACATTTTTGTAATTTGCTAATACCCATAAATTCATATTTTTGTTGATATTGTTGAACTATATTGTTTCTTAAAGCATCTAACTTGTTTTGTTTAATTGTCTCATTTTTTTGGATTATATTAATATTTTTTAAATTTTTCTCAAAGAAAACATTATTAAATAGATTATCTTGATACTTCTTGCTAGTTTTATCATCTATTGCAAAATACTTATTTATCTCTTCATTTTGGAATTGTCACATTTGTTTTTTTTTAAATTAATTTATTATTTTGTCAATTATTACAAACTTTAGAATCTACTAGTTTCTTTGACAAACTAACATTAGATACTTCTTACTATTTGATGATATCCACTTTTCATTTGCAACTTAGAATACTTTTTAATGATACTTTGTTCTAGATTCTTATAACATATTTTGCAACAATTAAAAAATTAGCATGTTATACTTGTAGCATTTTTTTTAGTATTGCAATGATTTCTAAATGCATTGGTTATTTCCACATTATTAGAATTTGAAAGAAAAAAAAAAAAAAACTACACTACTTTCATATTTTTCAAATGCTTTATTGTGCCTAGAACCATTACCAAATAATAAGAAGACTTTCCTACTTAAAAAAAAAAAACAAAAAAACAAAAAAATATTAAACTATGAATTAAATATAATTATATTATTTAGTTATTGATTTTTAAAATAAGAAATTGGCCAAAAATGTCCCACAATGCATGCTAGTGTGACTATCTTCTCAATCATTATGCATGGCAACTTGTGATTACTAATTGCAAAAGTGTAAAAGGCTAAAGTCATTCTCTCTTCAAATTTCTTTTTACCGCAAGTAGTTGATTTATCTTTTGTAAGAAGTAGAACCAAGTACTTAGAAAAAAAAATCTAAAACACAATTTAATCTTACCCATATTATAAATGTTCTTTAATTTTTTATTATAATAATGGCTTAAAGATTGTCCAAAGAATCTAGTAAATATAAATTGTCTTTGTCAACTTCGGCATCTATACCATGAAGAAGCATTAAGTCAAGTCCTTACAATTCTTAAATGTTGAAAACCACCTCTAATCTCACAAAATCATGCAACCTTAGTTCAATCGCAAAATTCATTGTTTTGGGAATTACATGGGAAAGTGGCAAATTTATTTTTGATCATTGAATTGCTTCAATTTACAAATTAAGTTGTTTCTTAAGAACTTCATATGAGGGCTTAGAAATTCTTCATTGCATACTTTAATTTTTTGGAAAATCAAACAAAATATGTAGTTTTATCTCATCTTTCTTCTTCCAAATAGTCTTTTTCTTACTCCATTTAGCCTTGGAAGTGAATACATTAAGGGAGGCTTTCGATTTTCTTAGGCACTAATAATCTCCATTCAATGGATATATGTCAATTGCTACAACCACTTCTTGTTGTGAAATTAACAACTACATCTTGTTATTATTAGAGAGAGCTAAATTAATTGAATGAATTTACAACAAGAAGTGGTTGTGCCCCGCCTTTAGGGAACCCTATGCATCACATTCAAGCCCTTCTACAAAATATTGCTACAGGACAACTACAACACTTTCCACCACCACTATTACATACAATCACAAATCACAAAACTTTCTTCCAATTGATTTGCACGTTATGAAAACCTGTAAAATATTCAAAAAAAAACCAAGTTCAAAATAAATACGCATAGGATTGAGTACTCAATTTTTGGCCCAGTTCAGTCAGCTGGGACTACCATATAATTGCTTGTGGATGACACTGGGCCGGAGATCATTGCCTTGGCAATGGACAGGCTGGGCCCTGTTGGTTCCCAGTAAAGTGAGTGCTTCTGTTACAAATAACGTTGTCTTTGCGAAGTTTCTAAGCATGGCGAGTTTCCAATCTGTGGGAAGCAGTAGAGATTATTGTGCGTGTCTGCATGTGTAGATGTTAGCTTCCAATTTGCGGAGATGCTGGTGTGTGGATCACAACAGACGAGCTTGGAAGTCCTCTACCCTGAAGATGCATTGAACGCATGCCAACAATCAGATTCCATTCGTGAGTGCGTCATTTAAACTTGTTTTTGGTAACATACCCTTCCCATTGCACCTGAAATGTAACCCTATTTTCAATTTAGATGTCTTGTCACCATGCAGTATCATGAATTTCACACATGAAGCGTTGTTTCTTTTGATTAATGAAGGATCCCTGTGCAGATACAAGTGGGATAACAACTTGTATCACATGAAACCTGAGACCGGGTTGTCAGCGCTTCGTATTCTGCTCTGGGTGTTTTTGCCTACTTGCGACTCGCTGTCGTGATCTCACAGGTAAGATTTTCCATATTCCCTTCTTTTACATTGATTTCACCTGATATTCCCAAGAATATGGCAGATTATTTCAACCCCATGCATGCTGTTGTGAGTCAAACGGGCTTGTTCAATATCGAGTAGTTGTTGAAATCCGTGGTGCGTGAATGCTAAAAGTTAGATATGTGATGTAGGAATTTGTGATCACGCTCAGTTGGTAGCCTCATCAACACTGCAACATAAGGTCGCTGTGGGTGGTTGACATTTTGGTCGTGCACGAACTCACTGGAGGTCAGTATCAAGCACAATGGTGCCAGGTTTTCCTTATTTCTATCATCTCGAGAATTTCCCACGAACGGTGTCTTCTTGGGGTGCACTATTCCGGTTACTCTGTAAAGTTGGGCTCTGCCAGCGTGAAGATCGTCAAAGTATCCCTGTGACGTTCGTTAGTTATAATATAACCTTCCACTGAGGCCTTAATTGTCGTTTTTGAGTGTAGAAATCCAATTGCGATGCAGAAATACAGAGTTGCTGTTTTCTTGTTTTCTAAGCAGGGCTTTATTTTGGAAAGCCGAGGGGCTTCAATGAGACCAATGGCAAAAGTGCTGGTTACAACGCAATCGCTTACTCGGCACCAGAGGTATTTTACATTTACTGTGCTATTTCTCGGCCTTTTTTGCAGATTTCTTCGATGGCGTAGGCAGATCCATCAGAGTGTACAGAGGCGATTATTCGTTTGTTTCGTGAAAACATAGAGTTGGTAAGTTTTGAACTATCTCTAATGATGAGCAGAACTTAAGGTTTGTAGTTCAAAATCCTCATTGGTGGAATGACTTTGTTGCATATTTTAGTGTGCCTTTCCTACGAAGATATTTCAGAATCTTAATTTTGAGTTTGTTTCCTCTGCACGTTGCTAGATTGCTCGAGTTGGATATGAACTGCAAGGAATAGGAGTGGAAAACTTTATACTGTTGACATGGCTAACATTCCGAGTTAGCAATGTCTATCATACCCATCGTGTTCCAATGGCTTGCCAATGTTCAAGGGTCGGTTCCTAAATCATCGGGTCATCCCACACTACATGCAGTTGTAGAAGACGAGTCAACAGTGTCATACCTTGATTGTATAAGATTTCTCAGTTGTGGAGGAAAAGAGACAGCCATGAGCTCTGAGTACCCAGATGTGGAGTTGTCTGACATACATGTTGACAATGCAGCCACAGTTCGTTGCATGGCTGCATGAGTTGCGTTCCAATCTGACGGTCACTCCTTCGTTTATAACAGTTTGACACCATCGTCACAGGCAATATCTTTGGTGGCGTCACACTAGACAAAGCTTCAATGTTGACTCGAAGCATAGCTATGTTGCCGTCAGCTAGCACTGGAGAATCTGTAAATACCACTACCACTCAAACGACTCCTACGATTGTTATGGATTTCTTTCTGAGTTGAGTAAGCTTTTTCCAGTACAGGGTTTCTTCTACTTCGTGGAAGTTCCCAATTCCCTGACTCAAACTGTGTTGATATGTAGAGTCTTGGTGTGGACGAACCAATTCATGGATTAGCTCTTAGTATTGCTGGTCAGGTATAAATATTTGTTCTATAAATGTGTGTTACATCTTCTCTGGAAGCTTTTAGCCAAGAGAGTCAGTACAAGTTATTTGGATGGTGCGACCTATCCAACAATTTTCAGAGGCGTATGCCCCAAAATTTCTTAGTATAACCTCAAAAGACCTGTTTCCGATTGTATACCTCTTAGGGGTTTGGTCCTGCTTCTTCCAGGACAAAGCAAATATTCTTTATCAACTTCTAAGCGCAAAAGCGCTCCTACGTTAAGCTTCGGGAGAAGAAAGTGCTGCTCATATGAATAATCATGTAAATTTTGCAAGTTCTCTATTTTTGGAGCTTTGGCTGTTCAGAATTGTCAGTCGAAGGCAATGAGGGATAATTGCATGTTTAGCAAGTTTAATTTAAAACCGGCTGGTGAGAGTTCACGAGGGATTCCTTCGTGTGCGTGTTCGTTCCAGGAATACGTGGGCTGCGCGAAAGTGGCAGTTGATTTGTGGACGTTTTCGTCTCCAAGCTAGTCTATGGAACAGGTAGCGAAGCAGAGAGTTTCATAGTAATTTTCTTTTGTTGTAAAGAAGTAAAGGACTTTTGGATAACTCTTTCATGAGGCGTCTCTTTACATTTTTAAAGTAACCTGGTCAACATGGCTAGGCACCAATTTTTGATCTGCTTGATAAATGGCATACTAAGTATTTGCTGTTTCCGTGCTGTAGAAGATGATTCGTGGAAAAAGCATGAGAAACTGATGCACCTATTCAACCAACCTATTCTCCAACTCTTATTTAGTGTACTTGACAGCAAAGTAGCAAGATCATTTTAACCAAGTGTTTGCCCAGCTCTTTAGGCTTAGCTTAGTTATTCCAGTATACTAGTTTTCATTTAGGAGTGTGAAAGAGTTCCCAGCTAAGCATTCTCCAGAAAATGACTATTGTCGTACCCCACAAGAGACGCATGAAACTTCAATTGAGGCTTTACCTCAGAATGTTAATCCTACTCTCGTGCTAGTTACGTGATGTCCCTACTGATGAGGAAAGTTAGTGTACTCGCTCACGGTTTCAGCATGAAAGCAGCCTCGTTTCCAGAGGCAATCCAGCAGACGCACAAACTAACACGTGTGAATGGCACAAACATATTTTGCATTGTTTTGTATAAAATGCACAGATGGTAGAATGAAGGTCCCTCTGAAGCCTCCAAATCCAAACAAGTACAGAGACCTACGGCCTGATGGCAATTCAATCTTACAAGAACGCCCTCCTTTAGTCGCAGATTCTTAAAGAAAAAACCCCGGTTGCTGCGAAAAAGGAGGTAGTGTTTTCTTTGGATTCCAACATTAAGTTCCAGAGGGCTTTTGATTTCAATTTTGAAAATGTGCTATAGAAAACTATCTAAAATGAACTACCGAGTTCACCTTGCTTCACGCCCTTACTATGTTCGAATTGCAAGCAAGTCTTGACACAGATAATGATAAACAGTGTAAAATTTTGCGCTTTTCAAGCTGCATGATATGTTTTTGAAGCCTTGCAACCTTGATCACAGTGACGTAAAATATTGCTTCAAAGGATTAGCCATGACTACTAGAGTACAACCTTTTAGACTAAATTCAATAGGACAACCAATATCAAATGATAAAGCCAACTGTTATTGACTTTGACTACTTCCGTAATGAAAACCTCTAAAAACCGAGACTTACAGTTTAAGGATCCTCAGCTTTGCTCTGAGTAAATCCTACTAAAAGAGGATCAAAGTTGAATGACAGTATTTTGCTTAATTGATTCGTTTTATTTTCTTCTTTTTTTATTGTTGCTGTAAAAGAAAAAGAAATAGAAAAGTCCTACTTTTGTTGTCTTCAACACTCTTCCCTTTTCCCATCTTCGACTTCTTCTTTTTCAGCTTTCCTTTCTATCTACTTTTTCTGTTTAAAGTTGAGTTTATCGTTCCCCCTTCCCCTCGTTTTCTTCCTCTCTAAAACCTACCCAAACCCATTTTTTACAGATAGCTCTTCACCAAGACCCCACAAGTAGTGACAGTCATTTGTGGGCTAAAATCCGGAAGAATTACGCACAAGTATCCAACGCTGTTACCGTTAAGCAGCACGGGGAGAGAGAGAGAGAGAGAGAGAGAGAGAGAGACTTAATTTAGCAGATCAAATAACTTCCAGAATCAAAATTGCTGAAAAAGCCATTAGGTGCACCTGAGCGTTGGCCAACGAAGGTCACAGCAACACAGAGAGAGAGGTGATGGTTCAAACCCACCTTGCACAGTGGAGAGATCAGCTCAGGCGGGTCTTCATGCGGCTGTGACCAGTTACATGTGTCGGGTTTCAGCACAGTTCTCAAGGGCAGAGATCTCACAAACTCCAGGCCTACACACATATGGCTCACAGCACAGCTTCCCTTCTGACAGCACAGTGAAGGACAGGATGTGGTCCAGGTCAGGGCAAGCTCCGACGATGCCGTTATTTTCTGTAGATCAGGCAAAATCAAAAGAGAACATACAGAGGGTGTAAGTTTACTGCTAATGGAAAAAAGAAAAGCGAAGCAAAATTAAAAACTGCCAAAGAAGCTGACACTGAGAACAGATGCCAGCTTATCTTTACAGAAGAGGGGACATGAGAGCGTGAAGAAAATGTCCACGCACATGTCTGTCCTGCTCCCATGGGCTGCGAATCAGCACTCAAATCTACTGCAACACTGGTTGTGTCCTTTCCAGGTGGCTCACTCAAGCCTTCCTCTCTCTGCATCTCTTTACAAAAGGCCGTCAGCATCAAGTGCTGGATGTGGACTTTTCCAGGTAGCACATCACCCACAATCTTCCTCCTCCTTCACCATGCTTCATCTGGTTCGATTTTCAACCCACAAACACAAGCCCTAAAACCCACTTGTAAACAACTAAAATACCTAAAAACAACAAATGTAAAGAGGAGGTATTGCTGCTCTTAGCATCAGAACCTCTGCTGTTACAGAGTACCCTGATATAGTCAGCAAGGCTTCACATCTGGCCATGAAGCACCCACCTCTGCATCTGTCCAAGGTCAGAAACTCCAGGTCTGACTTTAGGGTTTGAAAGATGGAGACTGAGCCTCTGGGTCAAGCTTGGTTTCTCCCTTTTCGTGCTGCATGTCTTGGTTGTATTACATATATTCCATCCACCATATACTGTGCTTTTGTAGGCTTGTTTTTGTTCCATCTGGTAGGAGTTTTGTTTCTCTTGATTTCTGTCCTTTGTGTCCCAAAAAGAAGCATGGTGAATACTGAGGTTTGCAATTGGGAAAAGAAGAGTATGTGATCAAAACACAAAAACAAAAAAGCATAAGAATTAGAAAGCTAGTAATGGAGTGTTTTACACATTTGTTTTGGACAAGGAGTGAGCATTCTAATAAAGGAAGGAAAAATAAAATAAAACAATCTAAAATTAAATAAAATGTTTGTTGTTGCAAGAGGCTAATTCATGGGGCACATTAGACCCACCCCAATGAGCTTCTCATCAAGCTTGTCCTTTATACTAACCACAATCCCACAATGATCTACACATGATCTACAGTTGGATACCTACTCAATCTAAAAACCATACAGTACAAGCTTGAAAGAGAATCAATAGTGACTTGATTTTATGTCCTCAATATTGGAATATCCAAAACAAAAAAATATATAATAAAAATAAAACGAGCAGGATTGCAACAATATCAAATACAAAATAATGAATACTCGTATTTTCATGCTATTAATAGGTTCTAAATTATTGGTGTTGTATGCAAAGCATGTATATATTCCTTGTGATAAAGAGAACAGGTAATTACTTGGAAAGTGATGCAAAATCCTCATATCGTTCTGCATTTTTATCTTTTACATATTCTATGATTATCATCTGTTCGTAAAATATAATATGGACAATGAATATTTTATTGTTATACGTGTCACGAATAGATATATATATATATATATATATACATATATACACATGTATAACCTACTTACAAACATTGATTTTTTAATACCATGTGTGAGTGTTTTGCACAAAAAAGTTTCCAATTTTCTTATTAAAGTAGGACATTAATTCTAAATGGTTCAACATATAAATTTTCTATATTATATTTTTTGTAATTTTGATTACATTATTTTGTAACTGCTTGTAACTTCTTGTAATTTCTTATACATAATATTTGTTATTAATCACCTTTTTACCATCTTTATTTTAAATTACACACTCATCATTTCTCAACATTTTCCATACTACTTACATGTATATGCATATATGTACACACACACACACATTCTTAATATTTGAAAAATAAATAAATTAGAACTACCACATCAAATACCAAATCTCGACACATAATGAGAAAATCAGAACAAGCCATTGTAGGCACGATTTATAATTTCATCCATTATTTACACAGACACAACAAAAACACATGCAATTATGCACAATAAGAATTAAAATCCTAACGAACTTATCATAAACAGATCTCTTATACTAAGAAAACCATATATCTCTCTACATATAAATATTTCCATAACTTGCGCATGCAGTTCATTCCTTTTTATACCTATCCCATTATATAGACACCAGGCCAGCTAGTTTCAAGGAACAAAACACGTTTTCATCCAACTGAAGTTTCATTCATCCACCAATCGTTCATCCAAAGCGTTGGCATTCAAGTGTCGCGCCACGCAAAATTCCCTTCGTAGTCAGTATCCGATGTATTCCCCCACGATGTGAATTTCGAGGAAGGATCGAGCGGCGTCAGGATCCGATGCCTCCGCGGATCTATAACCGCACTTTCGGGACACATGACCGTGTCTAGACGAAGGCGTAGGAGAATGCGGCGCCTGCGAATCATCAATTTGATTATTATTAATTTTCTAGTAGGACTAGACCTCAGATCGTTCACGGTCACGTTGGAAATGTAGATTGTTGGCGGAGAGGGGCCCTATGGATAGGAAGCCAGTGTTGTTGCTTGATTGATTGCGGAGCCTGGTGGTGAATGGCTTTATTTGGCTTCGGTAACAATCTCAGCTTTTGGCTACTGTTACGGTTTTAGTTGTTGCTGTTTTTGTTGGGTTGTCGTGATAATCTTCGACTTGGGAGGTTTGCAGAATATGACGCTTGTCTCGCTGTCTGTGCCCCTAGGGTTTCTGTGGCGCAGCCAGCTCTGAGGCTGCCCTTGAAACTCTCCCCGGAGGCCACAACGGTACCTTTCCGCTTTTTCCTAGCCGTCCTAGACATCTCTCCTCTCTGCCCCTGATTCCAGTCTTGGGTAGGGCCTGGTTATTCAATTCATAAATCATCCGAGCTGCATGCTGCTCTACTAGTCATCTAGAATAGTATCGTAGCTTCCCTTGTGCGGAGTGTAGCACGGCATAATTCAAGCTGGGTTTTTGGTTGTTGGTACTGGTTAGTCCTTGGATATTGAAGCTTTGGCCCTTGAGTGTCAGTTGTATTCTGTCATTCAGTAGCCTCGTTGGGCGAGACAGATTTTCCGGTTTTGGGTGAGTTAACTGTTTTGGCGTACCCGATTCGGAATGTTGGGTTGTACTTCTGTGTCCTCTAGTCTGTGACGATTGGTTTTGGGTCAATCAACTTAAGCAGTGTGTGATTGCGGTAGCGTAAGCGAGATGGTGATGTGTCGAATGAAACGGGGTGTGTAGGAGGACGAGAGGAGGGCCAATTTTTGATTGAGATCATCGATTGCTGCTGGTGATCTTGGCAGGGCCTTGATTATGGGCAGTTGTTGAAATTGGCGGTTAGCCTCGCCCTAGTATCCAGTTTTTCAAGTCGAGGTGGTGTGTTGAATTTGTAAATCAGTCGGTAGCTATCCAGAGTGTGAAACGAATGCGACAATCTAGCACGGATACACGTGTTTCATGAATCTTCACAGGTTGCCGATCGAAGTTACCAGGAGGAGCGAGAGTTAGATGCAGCGGTGTGCAGGTGGTGAATCGCGGTGAACAGACTCGTTGAATTGTAACGCGGAGGTACCTTGGTATGGAATCCAAAGCTGGAGCCCAGGTTTGCAGAGGTGACTACACTCGATGGCTGATTTAGGGTTTAGGATAGCGTAGGAGTGCTTGAAACCGGCCATGGCGTATTACAACGACTTCGGCCCTCGCCCGTTCGACCGCCACGATGATCCTGTGAGTCTCCTTCTCGTGTGTGCAGGTTTTAGACATTTGCTTTACATTTGTCAATTTTAGAATCGGATACTGCCTCTCGATTCATTCCTGCTTGAATCCACGGAACTAAGCTGGGTTGCTGTCTGCGAACTCCGGAATGTGTATTTTGTTGCGGATAAGTTTCTCTTTGTGCTGCCTCGGTTACTCAACTTCCGTGGTCTTGAGTATCGAGATTTTAATGCACTGGGGCTCCTCGTGTGGCATGACCCTTGTTTTGTGTCACATGTACCCTCTTTCATGCTTGGCATCGTAATTTTTGATGTCACTCATCTTTGCCTGAAAGGTGCTTCAATATTTTGTCTGGAATACTCAGAGACACTTGGTCTTGCTATCAAGTGCTTATGAAGAGGCAAAGTGGACAATCTATTTCGCTTCGCCTGTCTCGATAGGGCTTCACCCTACATATAGAATCCTTCATTGAATTTTGGTTGAAGCGAGGGCTTGAAATTTTAAAAAGATCTGTATCGAATTTTAGAAAAACTATTTTTGAGCAAGAATTCCACAATAGCCAATTTTTACAGAAGCCTACACTAAAACAATGGCTTTGATTTACTCACAAGAAGCTTCCACCCAGATAGGTAGAACTGGTTCACATCCTGATCATTACTATTAAGATCATTTGTGGGCTCAAACGCTCCCGTTTGAGGACTGCAGTGAGGACTGAAGAAGTTTGGTCCAACACCCTTTCGGGAGGCTGAGATCATCGAGCTCTCTGTGTCACGTGTTGTATTGCTGAGTTTAGCTTGTCATAGCTCGCCAGAGTATAGTGCTGATGCATCAACGCTGACAGTGAATTCTATTCCCCAGCCACATGGGGCTTAGCATCTTAGACATTCCTGCGTTGCTCACTTTGACAGCAACTGGTTTGCTGCATTGCTTGCCTGCGCTAACGTGATTTCTTCCGTTTACATTATGCAGTACATCCCGCCAGACATTGATGGCCCCCCTCCTTCGAATTTCCCTTTCCGCTCCGAGTATCCTGATGACCATCAGATGTGGGATCGGCCGTCACCACCAAGTTTTAGAGGAGCACCGGATTACGAGAGAGGGCCGTACTCCTCTACCCCTGGTGACTACCATATGTACCCTCCCGGTAGTATGGGAGGAGGAATGCGCGCGGAGGACTACATCCCGCAGGTATTCCCGAGGATGGGGTCTCCTGAAGGATACCCGTCCGACTATCCTCCAGTGAGGGCCCCTCCCTTTGCCCCGGATTACGAGAGAGGGCCACCGCCAGGGGGCTATGCAGATGATTACGGTCGGCGGCCTCCGCCGGGTTATCCTGGAGGAGATTACGACAGACCTCTTCCTTACGAGTATGAAATGGTGCAAACTGATTTTGGGGGATATGAACGAAGACCCATTCTTCCAGGGTACCAGAGGGAGCGTCCTTTGGGCGGCTATCCTCCAGCAGAGCATGGCAGATGGCACGACCCACACCAAAGACACGGCCCTCCTGTCCATCTCCGAGATGGTGGCAGATATGACGCAGGTGCGGGGCATCCTCCTCGTTCTTACGAGCCTGAGGTGCGTTTCAACCGTCCGGAGTCACCCAGACGGCCCCAACCGCCAATTGTTGCATATCCTCCCGAACAAGTCAAGTCTCCTCCACGTCCCTCTGGTGGAGGCGATGGAGGTGGCCAGTTCCCTCCAATGCCATATGAGCCTGCTGTTGCCGCTGCGGATCCTCCGCCCCCGCCAATGAAACAAGACAGGGCTCCAGAGGGCGAGCCTCAATTCCCTCCCATGCCATATGAGCCCGTTCACAGATCTCCGCACCATCACCACGAGGGTCCTCCACCGCAACGTTCTCCGCGGATGAACCCTAGGGACGATGATGTTGCTGTACCATATCACGCACAAATGGGAATTCCCCCGGACCAGCCATTTCAACAAGCTCATTATGGTCATGCCACGGTCAGTCATTCCTCACAGTGTTCAAATCTAGCATTTTTGCGTGGATGTCCTGTAGCTGATCACTAGATCTCACATGGGATGGATTCACCTGATTTCAGGAACACGGGCATATTAAGAGGAAGCATTTGCAAGGCTGCAAGGATTATTGGGCTGCATTCATCTTTTTTTTCCACTTCTGGGCTGTGGTTGGTGTCTGCATATATTTGGGAGTGCGAGGTGTGATCAAAACGAATGAAAACGAAGACCTGACGCGCCATTCTATTTTTGCTCCTTCACCACCAGTTTCGGATCGGTTGTACAGCATAAAGCACTGGGCTCCCCAGCTCGCCGCTGCAGCAGGCTCAGGGTGGCTGTTTGCAATGGTGTGGCAGCATGTCGTGCGGAGTGCAACTATGATAAAGGCCTGCCTGGCTCTGGGTGCGGTGGCTACTGGTATGCGTTAATGAACAAGCGCCTTGCTTCTTATTCGTTAGTTTTGCGTAACAACTCTACACATCTGTCAATAGCTGTTCTTGAAAAGAAATTTGAGCTCCTTTACTAACTTTAAAAGTGAATGAGCTGGTTTGGGCTATTTTAGCGCTAATTGGCCAGCTGCAGAAAATGTCGAAGCTCCTCTAATGAAACAAGCCTGGAATGTTTGAGAGGTCATCGTACTTCTGCATCCTCGTCTGATTTTTATTTTCTTATCTTATTCTTGTTGGTACTTGTCCTCTCCCCTAATGGTATGTCGTGCAACAGGGCTGCTGGGCATTATACTGATCTCTACTGGAACTACCATAGGCATTGTTGGCCTTATTTTTCTGGTTTCGGCGCTTTTCCAGGGCCTCTATGTACACCTCGTCCGGGAACGGTAACCAAGCTACCAGACCTAATTTGTGTATTCCCGACCTTAAGTTTTAGGGGCTTGAAACGTGTTGATTTTCATGTTGTAAACCTTGTGGTTCAAATATACTTGGAATGTGCCTCTAAGCTTGAGTTCTAACCCTCCGTGTTCTTATGGTGTTCGATTTGCCGTCAGGATCCCGTTTGCTGCGTGCATGTATAAGAAGACACGGGATGTTTTGAGGCATTACAAGGGTCTATATATCATCTCCGCGTGGCATGTGCTGCTGGCATTGGCATGGCTTGCATTATGGATCTTCGGTGTGTCAGGAGCAGTGAGCCTGCCCCACGGCGGATGGTATGCTGCGTTGCTAGTGCTTAGCCTGGCGTGGTCCATTGAGGTCCTTCGTAATATCGTCTATGTCACTGTCGCAGGTCTTGTGGGCACATACTACTACGAGGTTCGTTCTCATCATTTACATCTTGGGTTTGTGTTTGAACTTTGTGAAACTCAGTTAAACCTGCTTTCGTTTATTCAGCAAGTAGCGAACTCGAGGTCCCCTCTCACTACTGGAGGGTCACTATTGGAAATGCCGGATGTCTGCAGGCGCGCCACATGCCACATGTGCCAACGTTAAGGGCACTCCAACGTGCTTGGACGATTTCATTTGGAAGTATATGCCTGGGATCGCTATTTGTGGCTCCAGTGCAGACACTGCACTGCCTCGTAAGATTTTAACTTAGCCTGCAGTATTTCTTCTTGCTCTACGCGTTAGGTTCCTCTTCAGTACGTTATTATTATTACGAATTCTGAAAGTCGTGGGCGTCCCTGTAGGCCAAACGTTTGGCTAATGAACAAGGCGAGAACGAGTTCATGTTCTCGTGTGTAAACTGCTTCCTTGGAGTGCTCAACTTTTTCATGAGACACTTCAACAAATGGGCTTTTGTAAATGTACGTAATCCTCTTTTCATTCTCCCAGATGTTGATTCACAGTTCATCTCAGATATTGCAAAAAAAACGAATTCATCTGGTCCGTGGTACTACTTTCGTGAGTACCTAGTCATGAACTGATCTTTAAAGTGGGTACACACTGGATTCAGGTTGGCTTGCATGGAAATAGTTTTGTGAAGTCGGCAAGGCGTACATGGGACATGTTTGAGAATCAAGGGGCTATGCTGCTGATCAACGATGATCTAACTGGGGCAATTCTCTTGTCAAGTTGCTTGATCGGAGGAGTGTTGACAGCTCTAGTTGGTGGTTGCTGGACTTTTGCTACACACTCACACCTCACTGTTGGTGTCTCCATCATCTCATTCTTCATCGGTTTCTTTGTGGTGAGTTCTCTTCATTACTATCACAATTGTGTTTATTTTGTGTCTTCATAATTAAATAAACTCTAAATGTTCATAGCGAACTTTATTTAAGTTGAATGAGAATAGTAACAAGGTGGTTTTTCTTGTTGGTACAGACATACCTAACAATGGTTGTACGGGAGAGTGCGGTGGCTGCTTATTATGTGTGCTTTGCTGAAGACCCAGCCACACTTAAAAAAATCGATGAAGCTCATTATCAATACATGGTAGAGCGCAAGCGACAACTCGACCAACAAATCGCGTAACTGTAAAACCATCCACCAGACATTGTCAAAAGAAGTCTGATCTAGATACGTCACAGTATTGACATTAGTCTCACTAGTCCAAGGAGATGATAACGTGACTGAATGAAAGAATACCCTCACAGGCGTTATTGCGAGGCAATTGAGCGAGTTTGCTGTAGTTGTAGCCTAAGGGCATTGTTTACGCGTTCATGCGTGCGCAGTCTGTAAATTGCATGAGTGTGAATACCACAAAATGTTTTAGGTCATTTCTGTATTATTGAGACCTGAGATTCTTGTTACTTTTTAGCAGGGAACCCGCAGAAGGGTATAATCGGCAGTAAGAGAAAGTCTTAGAACCAGTGAGCCTTTTTTCTTTTCACTCTGACCGAGTGCATTGTCACATTACTCAGATTCTCATAAATCCAATCAATGTTCATCCAATCCATTCTAGTAACATCTTCAGATCCACACTTGACCAACACATAGTAAGAAGTATCGCATTAAATGGATGACTTTATTGTGGTTATGTACATGAGGAAGGATAACAGTAACTGGCACAAACACTAAACGTAACAATACGATGTGTATCACCCAGGCGTATTCAGCGATGTGATTTCTGCTTTCTGCCCTCTACAGTGCAGCGTTGTCCCTGATGCATTGTGGCCGAAATGATCGAATCACACCCAGCCTCCTGATATCCACAATTCTAATTTTCACAAACTCTATCAAGCCAGTAACCAAGAATACGAATCAGAAATCATTTTTAGACTTCTATCAATCCCACGTGTTAAGGACACCAATTTCTCACACAACCCTCAGTTAACGCACCTTCCCACATGCATACCAGGGGAGTGCATGCAAAGCCCTAAACTGACGCTCGCCAGCGTCACCCATCTTCTCTTGAACCCTGGCGCAAGGTGGACAACAGATCCATCAACGTCTTTGCCTCTAACCTGTGAAAACCAGCCTTCTAGAGCAACTGCCGCAGCAACAATTTCTCCGCGAGATAACAAAATGAAATATGAGGGGTTGATACAAAAGACGCACTGTCGTCAGAGCCAAAATAACATTGTCACCAAGGGCAAAAGATTCAGGGCCCAATTGGGTGACAACCAACCGGTAAGACCCATCGTTAACCAAGACGAGCATGAACCTGATGCCCAGCGACCATCGAAACCTCGATGGAAACGGGCATAGCTGTAAAATCATAATCCAAGAAAGTCACGACATCCGTGAAATTCCACCCCCGATCCACCGCACACAATCGTTTCCAAATTGCACGAAGCGTACCATGCTCCAGAGGCAACACACCGATCTTGCTTGCGGTAAAATCTACATCCATCCGTCAAATTAAAATCTGATCTAGAAACCAACACTGGAACCAGCAGTATCATTCTCTAAGCTTCGTTGCATGAGTCAGGTCGGTGTCTGTCATCCACGCGTGATAGTGTGAAAGTGAGGAAATAACCAAGCCGTGTTCATCTTCATCAGACTTGTCCAATTGCCATGCGAATCAGTAGACTCAGATCGCTCTGGACATAGTTAGCTAGCCATGTTGGTGAGTTAGTTAGCGGGGCTACGATCCTGGTTTCGGATAATCGGAGACTACGGCAACAGCAGCGGCGTTACGTCTATTGAGGTGTCTTGACAACGTAGTGAAGCGTGCTTCGTGTACCTGCACGCCTATCCTCGATGGATCTGATCGCCGATAATCTATGTCGGTAGCACAGCTGCGGCGCAGACAGACACAACGATCGGCATCCCTCTCGACGATCTGAAATCACGTCCAACGAAAGACACTCTTCCTATAATCTCGTCCATCATCAGATCGACGACCATTGACGTTCGGCGAAGCCACTTAGAATTGTTTCGGTGTGAAACCATGCTATCACGTTATACCACAATCCTTAACTTACAAATAAAGTGTTTTAAGTTTGGATATTTAAGTATTCTTAATTTTTTTTAGTTATTTAAAAAAAAAATCGATTCAAAAATATTGCATCATGAGGGCCATTGTTTTTTTGAATGTGTAATAAAAACATATTGCTAAAATGCTGGTTCCCCACTATATTATTAATGTTTAAAGAATTAAATTTGTAAAATATGCAAATATATATATGATTTTTATTTGGTGATTTTTTATGATCTTTCTTTTATTAAGCATAAAAAATAAAATAAAAATAAAAAATAAAAATCACGACTTAAAGGAATTATTAAAAGCATATTATTTTAAAAAAACAAAAAATATAAAAAGAACAAGAAAATAATAATAATAATAATAACTCAAAAATAATAAGGTTAATATTTTGGTATTTTAATTTTTATGATATTATTCAAGTTAATATATTGAAAATGACCCCTTCAATTGAAGAGATGTTGTGACAGTTTGATATATGTATGTATGTATGTATGTATGTATGTATTTAATATATAATACGTATGGTTGAACTCCAAAAAATATGTTTATTTAAGTTCTTAATTTTTGATATTTAATAAATAAATAAATAAATATGCAAAGAAAATTATTTTGATAAAAAAGTATTAAAAAATGTTATATTTTATTTTAAAATATAACACACTATATGTTCCAAAATAAGTAGGTAAAAATAGTTCTAATCCTAACATGTATTGCAGATACAAAATATCAAAAAAGAATTTAAGAAATTATAAAGAATTAGTATTAATAAGATTATTGATTGAACATATTTTAGAAATAAAAATAGATTATTTATTTTCCTTTTTGAAATAGTGATGCATAATCTAAATAATAAATTTTACAATATATATTCTAATCAAGATGAAATTTTTATTTCAATACTAAAATTAATAAATGATTTATTTTTAGAATTCATTTTCAAAATTACATTTTAAGTTATACAAAACAAAGAAACTAAATTCTACAAAAAAAAAAATTAAGAACAAAAAAAAGATAAAAAATGAAAATTACACCAATTTAAATTTGGTTTGGAAGATTAAATTTGCATTAATCCTAACTCATATTCACTATTTAATTATAGACTTTTATATATGATTGTTTTAAATAATTTTAAATATTAAATATAATAATTTTTACAAAACTTGATGATGCATGTTTTAAAATAAGATAATATGTGCAATGCCTTACAAGAGCATTACAAATTGTAATTGATAAATAATCAAGATAATTACTAGTATATCATCAATTGGTGATATATCAATTGGTGATATAATATGTATGTCTACTATCAAAGTGAGCTATTCTATCACATTGTGAAGAATTAATGTTTTACATTAAGATCTTTGCATTAGTGCTTACTTGACTGTAATAAGAATTTAAATTTGTGTCATAAACCTCAGCTATTTATATGACACCACATAAGATAATTATCTTTTATAAGAATATCATTACTATTTTATTTACACAACTTCAAAAAAATCTCAATAGCAATAACTACTAGTAAAATTGAAATAAGCTTCAATAAATCCAAAAGCCATTTGTTCTAAAATGTAGTAATAGATCTCTAAATATTAATATTTAATCATAGCCAATTACACAAAGCACTTATTTGATGAACCTCTCTAACATGTATCAAAGTAATTTATCCAAATATTTTAATAAAACAATATTTATATACTTCCTCCAAGCAAACATACCCGGCAAAAGCCTTAAATAGTTCCCTCTCTTGAAGAGTAGGACAATCTTTATTACTGAACAAAGTTTTTGGGGTACTCCCCCATCAGCAAATGCAGAATGTTAAATTTTAGGACCAAATCATTAAACATTGTCCAGGGTTGCATCCAAAGTGTGGGCCCCTAATGGAGCCCACGTTGTTAGGAAAATCCTAATCTCAAGAGCATTTCTGACACTTGGATTTTAGGGTCTAGGATGGCCATGACCCACCCAACAAAGTGAGCTATAAAAAGGAATTTCTGCTGTTGTTTTACAAATGAGATCTTTGCTTCAAAGACCAAAGCACCCATTATATGTGTCTGTGAATGAGAGACAAAGGAGAGTGTTACTGTAGTATTACTCCACTCACGGTTTCATAATATCAAGTACTTGTTGAGTTTGGAGTCATGTTTTTTATGGCCCATTTTATAATTGATGTACTGTCCTGAGAACATATTTGACTGTTATTGTTGACAAGTTCTAAACAATGAATACATGTTGATAAATGTTTAAAACAATATATTAGCATCATTAAGAGTTGAACAAATTTTGGCCTCCAAGGAGTGTGTATGTGCTTCACTGTTTTATAGTTACTGAGTTACACAAATTGGTATTGTCATTACTTAGAGCAATAAAGATTTCTTGCAAGTCTTTGTAAATGAATGAGTGACTTTGTAGAATACTATAGTTTTGAAGTTTGTGTTTAATTTAATTAAATAGTTTGAAAACATCATTTCTGTAAGAAAAACAACTTGGGCCAGTTGTGTGATTATGGGAATTTCCCAATACAAAGTACAATGAAAAAAATTCATGCTAAAATTTCCAAAAAATTATATCTATATATATATATAATATAATTTTTGGAAATTATATATATTATAGAATTATATTTGCTTTAATAAATGGGCATTATAATAATAATAATAATAATAATAGGGGAAAAAAAGATAATTTGGAGACTCTCTGTCCTTCAACGACTGGAAATATCCCGGAATGAATGATTGTAGGTGAAATCATCGGACGTGACGAACGAATGTATCTATAGCACATTTATCCATAAAACTTACATTCGTCCATGCATTCATCCATCCAGCATTCACATCAGTATTCACTCCAGGGGAAGAATCCGACCGGCGCTGGTTGTGCTTTCACGATGCTGCTGCCTCCAAGACTGGAACGCATCGGAAAGAGCAGAGAGAGAGACTGTGCTGGAGGAACAAAGTGGGGGGCGTCGTCGCAATCGTGGCTGGAGTTGGCAATTTTGAAGGCTCCCACCCCCATCTCTTCGGCCAGCGTGCCGACGCCTCTGTCCCCCAATAAACAGGGGATAACTAAGTCCCTGTGATGGTGAAGGCTACAGCTGGCGGAAACGGCGGGGAACGAATGTCGATACGTGTCAGTTCGCAACCAATGCTCGCCTCTCCAACCCCTGTGAGCGAAAGAACCGCAGTGGGGTCGGCAGCAAGCAAGTCGCTGCAATGTCGTTCACGCAAAAGAGGACTGAAGGGCAGAGCAGTGGAATTCCCCCAAGAGCCAACCTGCTAGCCAGCCAGCCATCCAGCTCCACCAAGGGATCTATCTACCTCGGAATGGGAGAAAAAAAGAATGCATGGGGAGCACAGAGACCGAGGATGTATTTGTGCGCACGTCGATCGAAGTGCTTGCACCGGAACCCCTTCGCACAGTGTCTTTCTGGCAAGCTCATTTTAGTTCCGACCTCTAGATCCTAGCGCACCCGTTTCTCTCACGACGCCGACACCACACCCAGCGGACCACGTCCAGCACCTTTTCC